GGTTCAGGTGTGGAGCTCACCTGTGCTCAGGTGTGAAGCTGCTGCCCTCCTGTCCGACGGGGGCGCAGGGCACGGCGAACGGCGGGCTGTGGACCTGGAGGCCCGGCTGGTTCTGGCCGCCGCCGGCCGCGATCGGCTGCTGGACGTGCACCTGGTGCGGCCCTGCGCTCTGATTGGCTACATGGGGGTGTGGGGGCGGAGTCTGCTCGCTCAGCGGGTGGGCCGCGGCGCCGCAGGGCGACACCGGCGTGGAGGGCGGAGTCAATGGCTTGAACCCGGCGGCGGGCTTCCTGTCGCAGGCACTGTGGACGACAGACAACACTGAACCTCCAGAACACTGTGAAGCAGCTTCAGAACCACAGCGCCACCTGCTGACCGGCCGGTACCGCTGCTCACCGGACCACGACCCGTCAGAGGGTCGACTTGGAGGAACAAAGACTAAAACTACAAGTCTTTGGTTATAAAATATGACTTGGATGTAATTTTGTTTGTTAGAAGGTTTTATGCGGGACGAATGAAGCTTCAGAACCAGAACCTGGACTCAGGATCATGGGAGCAGAAAGGACTAAATAATAAAAGCACTCAGACAGGAAGTACTATCTGGGTGTAACTTAGAAAGTGCTGCTGGGGAGGATTACAAGTAGAAGGTACCATTAGTTCAGAGTTCTACTAGAACCAAAGTATCTGTGAGTAATCCAGTTAGAAGTTCTGCTGGTATTAATAAACCGTTAACACCTTAAGCACTTGGACTGAAGGTCTTTGGTGGAACACTGACACGCTTTCACCCGGTTCAGCAGGAGGGCTGCGGTGAAACGCAAAAGTCCTGAAGCTGAAGCTGTCTGAAGCCTCTGGAGCCTCCTGGAGCCTCCTGGAGCCTCCAGAAGCTTCCTGAAACCTTTTGGAGCTTTTTGGAGCTTTTTTGAAGCTTCTGAAGCCTCCTGAAGCTTCTGAAGCCTCCTGAAGCTTCTTGAAGCCTCCTGAAACTTCCTGAAACTTCCTGAAGCCTCCTGAAGCCTCTTGAAGCCTCCTGGAGCCTCCAGAAGCCTCCTGAAGCCTCCTGAAGCCTCCTGGAGCCTCCTGAAGCCTCCAGAAGCCTCCTGAAGCTGCAGCCTCCTCCTGGGCTGGCTCTGAGCTGGTACCTGTAGCTGTAAAGGCACTTCTCTCCGTAGTTCATGGGACTTCGGTCCTGGCGGCAGGGAGACAGATCTTTGGAGGGAGGCAGCTCTCGCTTGATCTTGGCGGGCGGCGGGCCATGAAACATCACTGAGGAGACAGAAGAAGAAGAAGAAGAAGACGCGTCAGTGAGATGATCCAGACACCAGCTGACTGATCTCCTGACCTCCTGGTGGAGCGGCTCGGTGCTGCTCAGTCCGACTCCAGCATCATGAATCTCAGTAATCTAATGACGCTCTGTAACCATTAGACGCTTTCTGCCGACCGGCTGCAGCTTCCGAGGCGCCACATAAGAGCCGAAACCGGATCCGAGGAGTGAATCAGCTGATGGGCCGGGCGGCGTGCACGTGAGCTCCCCCGTGTGCACGCCGCAGCCTAATGGCCGCTCGCACACTCAGCAGCAGCTAATGGGCAGATTAGGCCTCTTTGTTCCCGAGCAGGCGGATTAACGGGCTGCAGACGGAACCAGAACTGGGTCAGAGAGGCAGCATGTGACGGCTCCAGAGCGCCGGGTTCTGGTCGAGTCCTGCAGCCGAACCAGGAATAGATTCAGTTCTGCTGCTTGATATGAAAGGAAACGTCAGCTTCCTCAACTGATGGACAAGAAAAGTCCGACAGAATGTGACCTCATGTCAGGTTCACTGAGCTCAGGACTTCACTCTGAAACGAGCAGAACCACGAGAGCAACAGAACCAATCAGGATTTTAAATAGATAATAATAATAAAAAAAAAGACCAGCTGTGATGTTAACACGCTGCGTTCACAGGAAACAGCCCACGGAGGGACTTCTGTCAAACCACAACTCAAAGCAAACGGAGCCAATCTGACGTTAGAACATTTCAAAATAAAACCACTTGTCCAAAAAATCTTGAAACGGTTCCAAACTCGTTTAAAACAACTGAGTGGAGCCGCAGATCAACAAACGTCTGATGAATAAATCGTGTTCGGTCCGACACATCAGAGGAAACCAGAACCACGTCGGTTTGGTTTATTGAAGTCGATGCCAAAACAATAAACTCTGCAGCTCCTGAATCAACCAGGGAACCAGATTCATGTCGTGTAAACGAGCAGCACAGAGTTGTGCCTGATCCACATACGACACCAACAAAGTGTTCGTCATCATCCTGCTGCTGGTTTATCTCCACTTATCGTCTCAGAGCTGCAAGAAAAACGCAAAACTCTGCAGCTGGACGGCAGATTGTTCACGTTCAGAACCAGCTGATGATCCAGCAGCAGGTCGGGCCGAACTCAGCTGGACGAGGTGGACGTCGGCTGACAGACGGACAGACGCCTCCCCCTCCCGCTAACCCGAGCGGGTTTCAGGGTTTCAGGTCTGGAGCTGCTCTGTTTGCTGGAACCCGGCCCAGTTCAGCAGCAGCGGCAGGCCTGAGTGCGGGAAAGTGTGAAATCAGATTAGGAGCCGGGCTCATGTGATGCCTCATGCCAATCGGCTGATTAAACTCAAAATGGAGGCGAGTGGGAGGGAGGAGGGGGCGGTTCCCAGAGCCGAGCACAAAGACCGAGTTACAAGTCGGTCCGACTCAGACAAACGGAGCTCTGGTCTCGTAATCAGCCCTGAAACGCTCTAATCAGGTCCACAAACATGAACACAAGTCAGAGGTCTGGACGTTCTCAGGACGCTGCAGAGACTCAAATCTGGTTTAAAAAAAACAAAAAAAAAAAAAAAACTCCAACAACTGTCAGATCCAGTTCAGTGTGAAAATGAACCAAATCTGAGTTTAAAATGTGATCTCTCATCACTTTTCTGGTGTCTGTCCTCTGGGACGGAACACGATGCAGGAATCAGAACCGGAGCTCCTTCCTGCTGAACCCTCCTTCATCTTTCATCCTCGGCTTCACTTTAAACCAAGTCTATGTGTAAACAGAGCTTTAAATCAAACTCGGTCACTCATTCAGAGACGTTAAACGGTGACTGCTGGTACTCACAGCTGTCCGACTGGAAATCTGGAACAAACTGTTCGTCGTCCGGCACCTGAGCTGTGGACGGAAACAAAGACGCATGTTAGGAAACACGATTACGAGTAGAAATAATAGACAGAAGAAAAGAGTGAGCAGCGGCAGGAAAACAGAAAGACGTCAGCCAGCAGAACTTTGATCTGCTCGTCGTCGTCCAGTTAATCTGTAAACTGAAACCGAGCCGACCCGTTAACCATCCGAGGAGACGGGACGCTGACATCCTTCCACTAATCCCCTTGTTCTCAAAAGAAATAATACAAATATATAGAAAAAAAATCTAAAATATTAAATCATTTATTAGAAACTGTAAAAACAGGAAACTTCTACAGATGTTCAGCTTTCAGTCCGACGACGAGGTTCAGTTTGAAAAACAACCAAATCCGAGGTTAAAAATGTGAGAATTAATTTATCCCACAAATAAATTAATTAATGATTCAAGGAGCTTTTATCATCGTCACCAGCTCACGTTCACAGGTTTGTGGTACGAGATTAGTTCTCTGGTCTCGTTTGTTTGTTTTTTTAAAGAAAAAGCCGAATAAATAAAAGAACAATAAAACAAGAGCAAAATATAAGTTAAAAAAAACAATAAAAGTGTAGTAAGAAAAAAATATATAAACGTGTCACAGGTCGTCGTGTTCAGCACTAAACGTGTGCAGCAGTGAGGGAGGCTGGAACACTGCACATGGATGGATAATAATTAATAACAACAGCATTCTGTATAAAACTAAAGGAATCGGACTGAAACCCTTCAGAGGGTTTTCGGCTGAACTGAACAGCACGTCGAGTCGTTATCTTCCTCCGGTGGCAGTAAAACGTGGACATGAGGTGATTTCTAGATTTTTCTCTGATGTTTGTAGAATCAAGAATTGAACAAATTCAACAATATATATATTTTTTTGTTCATTTATGTGAATTTATCTAATTAAAACCTACAAACATGGTCTAAACTCGACTTTGTCTGACTGTGACAGACGACGACACTCAGAGTCAACAGTGGAGGAATTATAACGACTAACTGGCTGATTTTAAACCAAAGTTTTCTACAATCACATTTAAATCTTGTTTTAAATTCTACATTATTGGTGAGATGTAGGAAAAAGTTAGACGTTGCTTCCTGTTGTTTTTTTTCTTCGTTTGTTTGCTAAATAAATAAAAGAAATTCAGATTTTTGCTTCCTTCTCTCTGAGTTCTGTCTCCTCCTTCATGTTCTGGTTCCTCAGAGCTGCAGGACTTTAGCGGAACATGAACCTCAGTGAAGACAAACAGACGAAGAGCTCCGACTGACCTTCTGCGATCCAGATCTCCTGCAGCTGACTGAGGTCCTGGAAGAGTTCTGGAACAAACACACACCGAGTTAGAGCTCAGAACCGGCCGGCGGACCGCACACTCCCACCAGATGATCCATTACCTTCCGTGTCCTGAGCGAGCTCCGTGTCCACGAACTTCCTCTTCCGGTCGGCCGGGGGCCTCGGAGGAGCCTCGTCCAGCGGAGACTTGTGCTGCAAGAGGAGCAGAAACGTCAGAGGAGCAGAGGACGGCGGCGGCGGCGGCGACGACGGAGAGAGACGAGAGGACTTACGCTGGGCGGGACCATAAATGGGACCTGCTGGTCGTAGAATCCGTCCATGGCTGTGCCTGTGGGGGTCTGTGGTCGGGAGGGGGGGGAGGCGTTCGCTTTAAAGCGACAGCGATCGGACCGATATCTGGGTCACTGAGAACCAAGAGCAGAACACAGAGTCACAAAACTCAAACATTCATCAGTTTAAATTCATTTGATTTCAAAAGGCCACCAACACCACACTCATCCTCAGAGCCTCTACGTCGGGTTAAAGAGACAAATCTGAGCCGAAAACTTTAATATTTCATCAAACTCCTGCTCAAGTGTGGAAAGAAATCTTCAAAACTTTTTAAAGCTTTAGCAGGTTGTGTTGTTTTTCAGAATAAAAGCCTAAATTCTGTGACTCAGCTGCTTAAACGTGAATATTTTCTGAAGCTCTTCGGATAAAAACAAGTTGTTTGACGACGACGTCCAACATTTTACAGCTCAAACAGCTGATCGGCTCCTTGAGAAAATAACCACCAATGTGAATAACTGTTTGTTTATATCAGTGAGAAAATGACGGTTTTGTTGGTTTTGAACCGACGTTCAGCGACTCCAGTAAACAGACGACAGGCTTGAACTGGTCGCTGTGATGCCTCTCATCGATCAACCAGGTTGTTTTAAATTGTTCTAAATTAAATTTAAAACAAACCTCAGTGTGAATATTTTCTGGTTCTTGTCTCATGTTTGCTGACTAACCACCAGCTGCTCTGATGATCAGTCAGCTCCACTCATTCTTTTCATTCTCTTCACTCCAGTTGAATGTTTTCTGGTTTCTCTCCTCCTGGACGTCGGCGACTTGCTGCTTCATCAGCAAAATAAAACAGTTTTCAGCTGTTCTCATAATAAATCCACCATTTCTCTAATAAAATGCTCGACTCTCTCTTGTTTGGATGCTTCTCTCCGTCTTATGTAACGCTGAGCTGCACTCATCGATCCACTCGTTGGCAGTTATTCAATTAATCGTTCACTTTTTAGGAAACAGTGATGTTCCTCTGCTGTATTTCCTCCTCGGTGACAGTAAACTGAACATCATCAGACATTACCACCATGTTATTGACCAAACAACTCAAAGTTTCCTCCAGTAAAAGCTCAACAACAATCATCAGCTGCAGCTCTGAAGATGATCAAAATGGTTGAAGAGCACCAGAGCTCGGAGCCCGGTTCCTGCTCCAGGAGCTGCTCCATGTCGAGCTGCTGCTGCTGCTGCTGCCTTTATTTAACCCACTAACAGCGTAAACACATGTAACCGGGTTATATAAGCTCCGCTCAGCCACCATCTGTGGCCGCTACTTTCCACTATAATCAGCTTGGAGAGTAAAAGCCTTGGAGAGATGCTTCTGCAGGATCTGTGGCACCGACACACCGGCCAGAAAGGGCCAATCAGAGAGCAGCTCCCTGCCCCGTAGAAGCAGAACCAGAACTTCACTGTGGTTCCTTTAAACAACAACACAAGCGCCGGTTCTCACGTCTCCCTGAGCAGCGACATGACTCACTGCTCTATCTGCTGTTAATGGATGACGAATAAAGAGGAGCTGCTGGGCAATAATTAGAGGCGCCGAGCAGACAGCACTCACTGTTCCGTCTCCATGTGGAGCGACTTCAACTTTACATCCACTCTGCTGTGGCATGGCGGGCTTGTTCACAGCACAGGGATCACATCAGACGGAGTTTTTTATGATACAGATTTACCTCAGCAACCTAAACAGTGTCTCCTAAATCAAAAACACAACAGCTGTCCATCTCCTCTGGTCCTGCTCTATTTAACCTCACTGTTTATATTCTGTTCTATCATGTGGAACAACTTGTGATGCAGTTAAGGCAGAAGAAAACCAGAACAAAGTGCAACAAACACATAAAAACAGCATCAAATGAAGTAAACATCTGAATCCTTGTGTTTCAATATGAAGCCAAAGTGACTTCAGCCTCAAAAACACAACCGACTACAGAGCATCACACATCCAGCAGCTCTGTGAAGCATTTCAGTCTACAGTAAAGTTCATTAGTGTGGTAAAAACACAAAGTGGTCCCTAAACGCACCACACTAAGTCACAAACACAGCAGTGAAATAAGACCCAGAGCGCATGAAGCAGCGAGTTCATCATCAACACAACCTGCTGAACAGATTCAAACCAGCAGTCGATCGTTTCTCTGGTTTTGTCAACTTTGTGCCTGAACTATTAAATACATTAAAACGTGTTTGTTCTGATTTAACTAAAGGAAAATACAAACTGCGACACGGTCCCTAAACGCACCAAAACTTCAGTAAATACAATCAGCAGGAATCTGTTTAAACACGAACTCCACTAAACCTTTATACCAACAACTATTCATCTCTTCTTACTCTACATCATATAATTAGATCCAGTTTCGCTGCTTTGGTTCTGGTTCCGTTATGTGAAGCTTCGTGCTGCACTTTACGCACGAGCCGTGCGCGCACACAGTAGTCAAATTAAGAGAAACACCAGGAATGTGTGTATTTAAACACCGCAAAAGTGACTTTATTATCAAAAACAACAACCTGGTAAACCAGCAGCTGCTCGGCTCTGCTGGTCTGGTTCACCTTGTGCTGAATTTTACGCATGAACTGAACGAACAAACATAAAAAGGCTGAAATAAGGCGAGCAGCAGGCACGAAGAACAACACAACCTACTGAACCTGTTCAACCAACAAGCCTCTATTGCTTCTTATCATCTCTTAATTACATCAGAACCGTGTGTGTGCTCATAATAAACTTTATCATCATGCGTAAAAGGCGCGTTTTACGCATGAACTGTGCCATAAAGTTTGTTATTGTCGCTGCTAGCAGTGATGTTAGATGGCAGCAGCGTCGAGTGCTGTGATTAATCTGAGGAGAAATAGAAATACAAAGTGCGCCACGATCCCTAAACGCACCAAACAGCCTCAGAGGACACAGAAAGTCGAACTTGGATCAACTTTTCTCGCTGCGTCGACAAAGCAACATTTCGGGTTAAACTTTTATCCGGTGCTGGTTCGTGTTTTGGGGGGGGGGGGGGGGGACCCCCCCCCCCCCCCCCCCCCCCGCCCCTCCCCCACCCTCCCTTGTTTTTCTCAATGAAGTGAAACTCGATCCGAGGCGAGGAAAAAAAAACGACCCGTCCATTCATAAAAAATCCCAAACAGCCGCCGGACCGCGCCGATCCACGCAGCCCACATCCACGCAGCCAACAGAACGCGTCCACACAGCGCGCACAGCGTCCGTTTAACGATGTAAAATGGTTGCCAAAGTAAATATGTTTAAATAAGATGGCGTTCGGAGCGTCGCGGGAACATTGAGGCTTCGCTAAAGCAACTTGCCACCGAAGCAAAGCGCGCGGCTCACCTGGTCGGCGCGTGAAGCGTCCTGCGCGTGGAAATAACGAGTAGAAATATCCAGAGAGCGGTGCTGCGCGCTGCCCCGTTGATGCGCCTCCTCACACTCTCACAACTTGACTGACTCTCCGCGCACGGCCCGGTCCGGTTTTCCTCCGGGCTGCGGCGGCGCTCGGAGACGCGCTCCGGTTGGTGGAGCCGCTGCGTCCGTCAGCTCGGCGGCCAATCAGGCTCCGAGGCTCATGACTTATATATGAGGCTCCGCTCGGCCAATCAGCGCGCAGCAGCGGCCTATTTTTATGAATGGCTGGATTTCATTCACATCTTGGCTCCGTTAAAGGGCCAGCAGTGGAAATGTACCGAGACGTCAGAGATGATGGACGATCACTGCGCTGCTCTCAGGGTCACAGTTCAGCTCCACTTAGTGACGCAGAAACAACTGAAGACCGACAAAGATACTCAAGCACAGCAGCCAGTTCAGTGTGAACACAACATTCACCGACACAAACATGTAAACACAGACTCAGAACCCTTCAGAGGACTTTGATCCGTCCTGGTGCAGGAGTCCAGTTCATGCTGACACAAAGTTCTGGCTGCAGACAAACTCTTGTAAACTTCTGGAGGTGAAGAAGTGTCACATCAAACACACATAAAACGGTCCTCATGTTCTCCTGCAGATGCGCTGACGACACCTATCTGTGAAGCTGACCTCTCACAGACCCAGACAGTCTAGACCTGACCTCAGACCAGGACATGGACGTGTTCTGGTTTATAGTTCATTGGTGTAACTTTCCAGATCCATGAGTCCAGTCTGGTCTAACCGACACCAGCCTGTCACTGGTCCCTCTGCTACCATCCCCTCAAGACCCACTTTGCTAAATGAAACAAAACCCTCCAAGCAGCAACCAAACATTAAAACACCTGCAGACAACGTTCACTGTTTTAGGAAAAGGCCTCATTTAGGCTCCGCCCAGGTCGACTGTGATTGGTCTAGAGAAGCCAGGTGTTTCCCTCCTGTGGCAGGACGTTGATGAGGTGCAGTCAGACCATTCTGAGCTCTGAGACTCTGAGTCCTGCCATCCGGAAGCAGCAGAATAAAGAGACTGTGAGCTGTTCTGCTCTTCTGGAAATATTTACCTTTAGCTGTAAATCCCTCAGCAGCAGCTACAACAGATAAACGTCTGTTCACGTGTCCAGGACAGAAAATAGTCAATATTTTTTATTGCTGTTTTACAGATTTTCTTTGACGTGTTAAATTACAGATAATAATAACATAAACAATCTTCTTTAGCATTTCACCATGTATACATTTGATTTATTTATTTTTGCTTATTTCTGTCTATGTATGTATATATTCATGTATATTTTTATTTTTTGTGTTTTTATTCTTTATTCAAATTGTTATTATTAATAATAATAATAATAATCATAATGCATTTTATGTCTATTGCACTTTATATTTTGGCAGTGCTACAGGGTAAAACAGAAGTAGTTACGATCACTGAAACAGTTCACGCTTCACTTCCTGTTCAACTGAGTTCAGTTGTGTTTGTGACAAATAAAAGTCCTGAAGAGTTCCAGCCCCAGAGCCGTCCAGCTGCCGACGTTGGGCCTCTGAGCAGGAAACCCTCCTGCCCCATGGGTCTCATCACGGCTCAACCTGAACCTGAACCTGAACCTGAACCTGAACCTGCGCTCTCTTCTAACATTAACTATAAAAACATCCAAACCTGTGACTAACATCCACGTCAGAAATCTGTATTTTTATAAACAGTAATTTAACTGTCAGGTAATAAAAGACCACACTCTACATGTCTGAACAGAGAACCTGAACATTAGATTATCACTAAGAAGACATGATGAACGTTTTCGAGCTAGTAATTTATTCTTTAATAATATTTGACCATAAAGTTTTCCTGCTGTACTGTATTAATCCACTGACACTGTCACTGTTTTACAGATATTTGTGGTTATTGTTTACGCTCTGTGAATGTTAAACCAGTGCTCTGCTTGTTAACATGTTTTTCCGGCCCTTTGCCTCCAGATTTTCGTTTCCTTTCGGTGTGAACTCACAGTGTTCGGTTTTTGTAGCTCAGCTGACGGTGGTGGTTGAAGCTGAACCTGCCGAGCGTCGCTGCTGCTGCGCCTCACAGAGCTGCTGCAGGCTGCATCACGGTTCATCGTTTTAATGATTTTAAATCTGCAGCTCCTGAAACACACGATAAGCTAATTGCATCAGAACAAAGAGAGATGTTTGCAGCTCGTCGTCGCCGATTGGGAGCTTTTATCTGGTTGGCCTTTTGGCCCTGATCTGTGGCCCAGCAGCTTCCTGCAGAGACTAACTGAATGTGGAGCAGAGGAGGAGGAGGAGGCATTGAATTAAGACTGAGAGAGACAAGAGAGATAATAAAAGAAAGCATGGTTACACAACTCAGCCTCACTAGAGTCTGCCTTTGGCAAGGCTCTTTGAGTAGCTGCTAAGATAACAAGGCAGGAATTATCTCCCAAAGTGCTATTAATAGCAGGCGAGTCACATCTTGTCCCTCAGTGAGAGCGTCCTGCGCCCAGAGGCACTACTTTCCCATTTTAACTCGTTTTGAAATGTGCATTTTGACAGACGTTTGCAGGCTGAGACAGACTCAGTTCTGCGCTCCCAGACGCTGCAGCTGGAGCTGTTTTAGCTGCGACGGACCAAAGGTCGGTTCACACGTCGGATAAAGTCCACAGATACAGTCAGCTCCTGTGTACGGGTTTCAATGAGCAGAGCAGTGGAAAGGGTTGGTTCAGGGAAGGTTTAGGGTTCAGGTCACAGCAGATGGAAATATTAAAACAAGATTTCAATGAACTTTTAACCCAGATCTTTAAAAGGGAAGCTACAGAAACTCCGTCTGCTGTAAGGTCCTGGGAAAACGTTACGGGTCTTTCTGTCATTTTAAAGGAGATCCAATAAAGAATCTGACAAAGTGCATCAGCTTCAGAGAGCTGCTGATGAAGGAAGGAGACAAACTGGTTCAGACAGAAATGGTTTAGAGACAACAAGGTGGATGTTCTGGAGTCCAGACCTCAGTTCAACTGGACCTGAGAAGTTCTGTTCACTCATGATCCGTGTGGAACCTGACAGAGCCTGAACAGTTCTATCAGAAGAATGAGGTGAAGCTGCAGTGTCCAGATGTTCAGACTGATGGAGACCAACAGGATCAGTGATGGAGCTGAAGGTTCATCTACTGACTGGAGGAGGAGAACAGTTATGTGATCACTGATTTTAGATTGTTCTTCACTTTGTAGAAGTCGGTTTTTACTTTGACATGAGAGAGTCGTTTTGGGGGTAAATTGTTGTTAAGAAGAAGAAGAAGAAGAAGAAGTAAAAGAAACTAAATTACAGTGATAAAAAGCAATCAAAGCGTTTTTTTCTGCACATCTTTTTCATTTACAGGTTACGTGTAACGCGACCGGCGGCTGACAGAATCGGACCTCGACATCTCCAAGGTCAGGAGATGAACTTGTGTGAGCAGATCAGCGCCGGTGATTCAGAGCTTCCAGCGACGAGCAGCGCCCTCAGCTCACCGGGTGACGGCAGGATTAGCCCACATCGCAGCGACCTGAGCGTTATGTCAGTGCCACACTAACCTACACAGCGTCTTCGAGGGAACAGGAAGTCAGGCTTTAGATCTCCACTACGCCCACTTTCACTCATGCGGAGCTGGAGGTATGTCCGCCAGCAGCACGCCGCCGCATATGGCACATTTATTTAAAGAAAGAGTAAGAACAGCAACACAATGTGCTGCAGAGACCACCCACCACAGCGAGCGAGCGGCGGTCGCTGGACCTCGGCTGGTCGGTGCTTCACACACGGACAGTCGGTATTTTTAAACCTCTCACCTCCACCGTGTTCAGGCCATATGCTGGACCACAACCTGTTCGGGCCGAGACCAGCCGAGGCGCTTCTCTCCGTTACCGCCTCGTAATCTCTGCTGCAGGGATTTACAGGATTACAGTTTTCATAGCAGCTGCTGGCGTTTGTTTCAGACGCCGAGCTGCAGAGTTTATTTGGAGGCTTCCTAATTGAAAGTGATAATTACTAAGGTTATTTATTGGTGACCTCTGACCTCTGGGCTCCGACAGCCGCTACTTCATATTTAAAAATACTCTGCGATGCTGGAAACTTGGGAGGGTTTTGATTTTTCTGCAGACCGACGGTGTTTTAGCACAACTTCAGATTTAAAGTCATAAAACTGATTCAATTTCGGGGATAAACTCCTCAAACATTAAAGTCACTGACAAAAAGTCCAGGTTGTTATCCTGTAGGGAGCATGAATGTGCTGAGTAAGCGCCATGTGTCTGACCTGGAGGGGTTGGTGCAGCTTTTCCTGTGGTCTGATGGAACTACAACCTGAACTGTTTGGCCTTAATGACCATCGGTACATCTGGAGGAAAAAGGAGGAAGCTTGAAGCCTGAGAACACCATCCCAGCTGTGGAGCACGGGGGTGGCAGCATCATGCTGTGGAGGGACTGGTGACCTTCACACAATAGATGGCATCATGAGGAAAGAACATTATGTGGAGATATTGGAGCAACATCTCCAGACATCAGCAGGAAGTTAAAGCTTGGACACTAATGGGTCTTCAGATGGACGATGACCCTCAGCATAGCACCAGATTAGCTACAGAGAGGCTTCAGGACAACAGAGTCAGTGTTGTGGAGTGGCCATCACAAAGCCCTGATCTCCATCCTGGAGAACATCAGTGGAGCAAGGAGACCAACAAACCTGACCCAGTTCCACCAGTTCTGTCAGGAGGAACGGGCCAGAACTCATCAGACTGTTGTGAGAAGCTTGTGGAAGGAAACCCAGAACGTTTGACCCAAAGTCATAGAGTTTAAAGACAACGCTAGCAGATACTGAGGAGATGGATGGAAACTTCTGACTCTGAAGAAAGTCATCAAACATTCTCTCTCATTATTCTGGCATTTAGCAAATAGAACTAATGTTGGTGATCCTGACTGACCTGAAACAGGAAAAGTTTGATTTAATGTCAGACAGTGAGACAAAAAGGTTTTGTGTCTTTTCATACAGTGGATGTAAACGTCTGGTTTCAGCTGAATGTAAGTTAACATTGAGACGACATGACAGGAACGTAATCCCACCGCAGAACAAACTAGTCGTATAGAATAAATGGAATTAAATGGAAATGCAGATAATATATAATAAACCAGAAGGAAGGACACTTACATTTAAACATAATCTGTCCTTCTGACACTCCAGTAGCTTGTGTTGATAAATGAAAGGTGTCCTAAACCTCCACATGTATTCATGGATGTAAATGATCCAGTTTAAATCCAGTTCCAGCAGAAATCTGAACTCTGGTCGACGCTTAAAGGACAAAACAGGACAAAGCGCACGTTGAGCTTGTTGTGTTTATTTGGTAAAATGTGAAGTCCATGAAAATGGCGACAAACAGTGACGCTGCAGAGACGGACAGATCAGACGTATTGATCCTGTATCGGTGCGATCTGGGGCCGTTCTGGGATCACAGGCGTGTATTAATCACTGATTGATCGCCCGACAACACGCTCCACATCGCTGACCCAGATACACGGAAACATGGAGCATTGTGGGAAACAGGCCGAGGTCAGACGCATGAATCACATCTGAGTTTATCACAACCAACAAGTGACAGAAGGTCTCGTCGGACTCTGGGCTGCACCCACATGTTTCCCACAACGTCCGTCTTCTTAGTGTCAGAACCCAGAAGTATGTTGATGAGCAAACATCTATTGCATCTCTAGTGAAACGGTTTCTGTCATTAGTGACTGTAAAGATGACGAGTGATGACCGACTCCCTCCTGGTTCGCTGAGCCGAGCTTCAGACTTTCCCACCAGCAGCAGCTTCAGTGTGTTTGGTCGGTCTGACAGTCTACAGCTGGGATCTTCTGAACCCTCAACAACATGTCGTTTAATTTTTAAAAAATCACCAAAATCATGTTGATTGTCAAAGTCAGGAAGTGTAGAAACAGAAGATCTACTGTTACCTTCCTGTCGGTCCGTGAACTGTTCATCTCTTACACGTGGTTCCATCTAGAAAAGGATCCAAATCTAAGCTTCTTTAGTCTGTTCCATTTAAAAATCCACCAAAAACAAACAGTTAGCTCAGACCAGATTCTGTAAAAAACTAAAAATTCTGCACTTCTCAACGCAACCCTGAAGCCACGACAGACTCGACTGTGAATAACGGTCACATGACCAAAATTCAGGGACTTTTCTGTTGGACTGCAAGCGACGTTCACACCAGGGATCTCCAACTCTGGTCCTCGTGAGCTCCTGTCCTGCAGGTTTTAGACGTTACTGCAACACACCTGACTCACATGAATGGATCTCCAACAGCTTGTTGTCACACAAGTCTGTTGATGATCCATTCATCTGAGTCAGGTGTGTTATAGAAACATCTAAAACCTGCAGGACAGGAGCTCACGAGGACCAGAGTTGGAGATCTCCAGTTTACACGGAACAGAAAATTCATTTAAAACATACAGACTATGTGGAGCCTCCATACGTTCCAGGGTTGGACACTTGGAAATAAAAAAGTTCAACATGTCAATTCCAGGTTTTTCAATTTTTGCAGAATAAAATTCAACTTTTGAATTCAAACAGGAGCTAAAAACACCCAGAAGCTGCTGCTTGGAGTTCAGAGGGTTGATCTTACTGAACCAGAAGAACTTTAGGAACCTTCCTCCTTATTGTGGACAAACCTCATGAAGGACCAGAACCAACAGTTTCAACCAGATGATCCAACTAAACCAGTTCTTATTCTGCCAGATCTCTACTCAGATACTTGAGAACATCCCTGAAGAACAACCGCCTCTGAACATAGAACAACTCTACCATCCGCTCCTCTTGAAGTAAAAATGTTCCAAGAAGTTCTGCAAAGTTCTAGTGATATTCTCAGCCAGTATTTCCTATTTTAGTTCCCAGAATGTTCCTTTTAAAGGTGGGACCCTGATGCACCAATGTTTGTATGTTTTTTTTTTTTTTTTTAAACCAAACGTTGCATTGAGAACGTTCCTTAAATTACAATCTTCATCCTGCGACAACGTTCCGTCCTCTGAGGCCTCGATGACGTCCTGAAAACCTTCNTTCCTCCTTATTGTGGACAAACCTCATGAAGGACCAGAACCAACAGTTTCAACCAGATGATCCAACTAAACCAGTTCTTATTCTGCCAGATCTCTGCTCAGATACTTGAGAACATCCCAGAAGAACAACCGTTCCAAGAAGTTCTGCAAAGTTCCAGTGATGTTCTCAGCCAGTATTTCCTCTTTTAGTTCCCAGAATGTTCCTTTTAAAGGTGGGACCCTGATGCACCAATGTTTGTATGTTTTTAAAACCAAACGTTGCATTGAGAACGTCCCTTAAATTACAATCTTCATCCTGTGACAACGTTCCGTCCTCTGAGGCCTCGATGATGTCCTGAAAACCTTCTTCTGAATGTTGGTTCTTTTTCATCTGTGGACCTGAAACTTTCTCCAGACATTCTTGAAATGTTCATGTCTTGGTTCTCTCATCTGCCGTCAGGGAACGTTCCCACAACATTAGATAACTTTACCTACAAGTTCTAATCGTTTTTTAAAACGAAGACGTTTTAATCTGACAGTTTAAGGTCAACGTTCAGAGGATGGTGTCAGGAACACATGAGAAGGAACGTTCTCAAACTAACATTTAAATAATGTTCCAGATGCTATCGAGGCCTCAGGTGATCTTTTAAAAAAATAAAACGTTCCTGCAATGCGATACAACAACAAAGGTGGAACATTTCCCTCTGAGGATATTGTTGGGGGAACACATTATACAACGTTCTTTACTGGAACGTTCTCAGACAGCACTGACAACATTGAAAAGACGTTCTGCCTCAGATGACAAAACGTTTTCATCCAGAACGTTTTCTAACGTTCCTGTAATGTGATGTGGTAAAGGTGGAACGTTTGTAATTGTTTGTTGAGGGAACACATCAGAGAACGTTCTTCTATAAAACGTTGGCAGGATGTTCTCGATGCAACATAAAAAAAAAAAATGTTTTCAAGATGTTTTTTGAAAGTTCAGGAGACAGAAGGTTCTTTACAAGACGTTCCCATAACATGACATATTAGCAAAAAAACATTCCCTAAATGTTCCATAAGGACAAAGTAAGAACGTTCTCGGTGCAACATTCAGATTAGGACTGAATGGTTAAACAACGTTATCACCAAACACTTTTAGAACATCAGGAGAACATTCTGGGAAAATGAAAGAAAACTTTCTGAGAACATCTTCAAACGTTGCTGAGATTAAAACTTTCCAACATTGTCAGAACGTTACAGAACCTTTAAACTACTGTAGCTTCAGGTTAAAGGTTTATTGCATCAGTCAGTGAAAGAACTCGTTTGGATGTTTTTTAATGAGATTTGTTGTTTATCTCCAAGGACAACTTGAGGAAACTCGACCTGCAGATAAAGACGGACGGCGATCACATCATCTCCTTATCTCCAGTCACCAGGTTCTCATGATGCAGATTCGGAGGCGTTCTGTGTGTGAATCAGCTGCTGATATTTGGGAGGTTTAATCATTTCTTTAGGGCCGTAAACATTCATCGTCACCATCCTGCGGCTCCGTCTAGTCGCTGGATCCATCGACTGGTTCAGAGGACGATCAGATACGAGCTGCGACTCGCATGATCCATTAATCACGTTAATGTTTAAACTCGAGCTGCTGTTTTAACGTGACTGCGCTTCGTCTCTGCTGCCGTTTTCTCAAACATGCTGCCAAAAATAAAAAAAAAACAAAACAAAAAACTGAAAAGCACAACAAATAATAAATATATGAATCAGATGAGTGGAGTTTGATGAGTGGCCTCTTTGTTCGCTCCGTTTGTTTCAGCAGGCATGCGGTGACGAAGGTTGACGCCAGATGAAGGATTATAAACAGATATGTACACCGGGTGGTACGGCTGTCTGGAACCATCCTCTGGATAAATGTGACTGTAAACATGCACTCTGACCACTGAGGCCTCGGCGGCAGCCAGGCTCCGGATGCTGCCGGACCTCATCGCTCTGGACCGGTCCGGTTCCTCCAGACTGACGATGTGTCCTGGAGCCTGGGTGCCACAGGAGCCGCTCAGTGTGATTTAAAGGGAACCAGGGTCCGAAGGCGTCGACCCGACAGCGGAGCTCAGTTAGAACCATGAGAACGTCTGCAGCTCCTTCAGGCAGTTTTCCACCAATCAGACAGGAGATCCTGGTGCGTCAGATGGCTTTCACATGAGGTTTTCAATCATGTAATAATTGGTGTGTTTGACAGAATGATCTCACCAAAGGTCCACAAGTTAACTTCTTGTGCTGCTTTTGTTTCAGAACTTTCAGTGAAAATTCTCGGATCAGAAAATCAGCTGCTGCTAAAAAATCCAGACCTAAAACTAAAGGGGGACCGTGGTCTCGTAGCAACTTAAACATGAGATTACATAAAATTTTACTAGCGCTACTCTGCTAAGCTAAGCTACTTAGCCATTAGCATCACTATTTTAAAGTGTGGAGTTTTTTATCCATTGTGATTCATTTTCATTAAAATGAACATGTTGACGCCGTAAAGCAGATTTTTTGAGATGCATGTAAATGGGTAAGCTAGCTGAAGCTAAAGCTAGCTGTAGCTAAAGCTACATATGATATGATACTACAGGATCATACTACATATGATACTGATAGTTACTTAGACACACCTGTACAGGTTCTTCTTGTCTAAGGTCTTCTGAAACTGGTCATAGAAGATGGACGAAGCCTCCCGTATTGAAAAGTGAAGCTTTAAACCGACATATTTCTAACAGCCAGCAGGGGGCGACTCCTCTGGTCGCAACAGGAAGTCTGAGACAGTCTATGAGAAAGTGGCTTTCATAATTTATTAGTTCAGTAAACATTTCCTAATGAGTTTAATGTGAGTTTTTGGTCTCCTTCAACACAACGTGATGCTAATTTCTTAAATCGTGGTCGTTAAAAGAATTTCAGCGTTTAATCAAAGTTCTCAGTTCAAGCTCACTTGTTGAACCTAAGATAGTTCCGTCAAATACCAAATCTGAGACTCGGCTTCGTCCATCTTCTATACTCCGTCTGTAGAAGGTGTTAATCTGAGACGGCTCGGCTAACATTGTCTGGAATCTTTATAATGACTGTACTGTTTGTGCTGTCGTCTCTGTGATCTGCTGCAGCCTCAACAAACTTTTTAACGTCCATGCAGTGATATCTGGACAGTTAACGAATGCTAGTGAATACATGTGTCCAGCCACAGTTAGAGGCAGAGACCAGAATAATCATCGTTTTATGCTGTTTAGCGTCATAACGTTCAGACCGACCCGGCCCGGCCCTCTGTGGACCCGGCCGGCTCACCAGCTAGCTTAAGCTGCTGTTGTGTCGATTTTCATAGAAACTGACAAACTTCTCTGGCGTCATAAAGTCTGTTCGCTCATAGAAGTTTAGGGAACTTGAGGCCCATGTTTTAAGGAAAATCCCCTGATGGGCAAATCGACTTCTTTAACCACAACGTGGACCGAAAGACGTGCATCAGAATAACAACAAATAGTAGCTACAGCACGGGAGTCCAATTCTATGAGCGCAAAGGAAATAGAACCACAGAGGAGTGTCATGGTGGACGGCCACTTTTGGATTAGAGAGAAGATGCTCAAGGTGGTGCTTAAGTTTCAGTAGTCAGCACCGAGTCCAGGTTCTACAGGGACGTTTAAAACAAACCACAAGTTCCTGCGTTGGAAAAGAGCTTAAAGTTAACGTGAACCTCGAGATCATTCTGTCACAGATTGTCCAGATGTGTGTGTCTCTTGGTCCTTCACAGGTGGACTGTGAACAGATCAGTGATAAATGAAAACACATCGAGAAGCAGACGAGGTAGAAAACTGCCTTCGGAGAGCGACTGCAGCGGCTCTGCATGACGACCAATACTGATGTGAGCCCCTCTAAGCTAGAAATCCACATTATCAACAATGATATAAACACGTGTGTGTACAGGATACGTGAGCTACACCTACTTTCCAGAAATATACATATAGTCTGCCTGCACATGTTACTGGATATGATACTTTGCCATATGTGGGGACATGAATACATTCCTTACAAACACTGAGCTCCATCAACCGTTGCGTCCGTTACGTCCCGTGTCGTTCGGTGCATTTGAACGCATCGTGGCTGCGTTAGTGCCGGACGGCTCGCTCTGGGCTCCGACAGCACACTTGACATTGCGAGTCGATGTTTGACACGGTGATTAAGAGTAGGGTTTCAGCGGAGGGGAGATAGACCCTCCCTGAAATAGAGGGATAAATTTAGCTCCCCTGTCAATGTGGCGGTAAATAAAAACTCCGGGGGCCCTGCTGTTTTACCCTTGAGGGGATTTATTCCAATCCTTGACCCAGTAGAGGAACCCGGGAGCTGCTGTTGATTGGACGTTAGTGTTGGAGCGACCGACGAGCCTCTTCAGAGGCGAGGACGAGCCACATCCAGTCCGTTTTTATGCTGATTAATGTGGCACCTCCTCCGCCTGGAGTCTGTCTCTGGCTTTGTAGGCCAGCGCTGCCACGGGCCTCAAATCCCTGCATGTTTGCACCCGTCCAGGCCTCGGTGCCATCAGCCCACAAAGAGGAAGTCAATAATGGATGAGGCTTTTCCATGGCGTTGGGCCGGGACGCCCCGAGGCGACGCTCTTACAGCCAACCGCTGTTTCATTATTCATGCAGGTGTTTTAACGAAGAGCTGGATCTCTGTGTTTACTCGCCGGCCTTGTCAACAGCCGCTTCCTCTCCTTCTGCTCGCTGTAGTGTTTCTGTTGGGGAATCCCTGTGTTCAGCAGGCAGTGCGGTACTGGTGTATGGCTGAGTTTGTGGGGAAGAGACTAAATCCACACGAGAGGATGACACAGGATCGGGTCGGTACTGTCTGCTCAGAGGCCTCCTCTGAGACCGGTGGTCCGATGGAGCTGCCTGTACAGTGTGTGTGCATGTGTGTGCGGTGTTTGTGTGTGTTTCTGTGTTTGGATGTGAAACTTGTGCGTCCTAGTCGCGGCTTCGGTTGCGTTTCTTGAAGAAGAAGAACGGCGTCTTCTGCGGCGGGCCCAGCAGAATAGGAACCTGGTTCTTGTGCGTGATCCGGACCTGTGAGAAGCAGACAGAGGAGATAAAATAAGATTCAGAGGATTTGGTTTGTTTGACAGATTTATCAGGGTGGCATTCAGAGCTTCCTGGCTGTTACAAAATCTCTCAGCGCGACCTTGCAAACGGCTCACGACTGAAAGCTTTCTGTCTTCCACCCCCTACAAGGTCCGCTCTGACGGAATGAAGAAAACAAACGGTAGAAATGCTGCGAGAACGGATTGATAATAGCCGACTTCCTGCAGTGCTGTGAATAATATAGCCCGGCTGTGATATGTGACAGCGTTGGAGGTCGAGGTTGGGGATGTGCAGAGGAAGGAGACGAACAAAAGAGCAGGGAAACGAGCCAAGACACGACAGCAGCACAGCAGCACTCAGCCTGGTCGGCCTGGTGCTGCAGCTCTCAGGGATAAGTGCCTCCTCTGGTGTCCAGGGGATTCTTAGAAGACCCTAAAACCACATCCACACCAGTGCAGGGATGTGGGTCAACCCTGGAGTGGTGCTGATGAAGTCAGTTCACCCATCGCACCAACTCCAGCTTCACCCTCATCACATGTGATCTCACTGCCTCGTGTGATGACTGCAGCGGGTCAGAGCCTCCACATGAAGGTGAAGCCCGACTACCGAGGGCTGTCCTGTGTCAGACAGGATCAAAACGTTTTCAGACTGTGGCTATAAAATACAAATAAGTAAGTTAAAGAGCAGCCTCCCTGTGCGGTGGTCCTCTGCTCCCAGCGCTCCTGCAACACTCCCTGGAAGTGAACACATCGAGCACCATCTGTGAGGAGCTCCATGTTCCACCCTTCAGCCTGGATTTATGTTGGAGGAGACAAATCTGGCGAGAACGACGGGTGAAGAAGATTGTTTTTGTGCATCAAAAAGCTCGTACGTAATCGCTGCCTTACACCGTTCAGTTTGCTGCCGTCAAACTCTGTTCACAGTC